TCATTTGAAGATAATTGTTCAGCACCATTTTACAAAAGAGGAAAATGAGGCTGGGAAAAGTCCAAAGTCCCAAGATAGTCTTTAACTGAGACTTCCACTGTCTCTGCAGCTGCACTGTTCAACCTTAACATTAGAGAGTGTTTTCAGGCTGGAGGGAAGCCTAGGAAAGGTCGTTGGTGCCCAGTTGTCTACAAGGTGGCCAGATTGAGTAAATAAAAATACAAGATGCCCAAGGAAAACATTTTTCTCATACAATTTTTAAAATTGACAAGTAACTCATAAACCATAAAATTCACCCTTTTAAAGGGTACAATTCAGTGGTTTTCATCATATTTACAGATTTGTATAACCACCATCTAAGTCCAGAACATTTTCATCATTTTTTTTTTTTTTTGCACTGTTTGGCCAGGGCTGGGTTTGAACCCACCACCTCTGGCATATGGGACTGGCACCCTACCTTTTGAGCCACAGGTGCCACCCCAGAACAGTTTCATTATTAATGGAAATCAAAACCTTTGTCTTATTAGCAACCACTCATTATTCACTCTTCCCAGCTCCTGACAGCCACAAATCTGCTTTCTGTCTCTATGATTTGTCTCATTCTGGACATTTCATTATCAATGAAATCATACCACATGTGTCCTTTTATGTCTGGCTTCTTTCATTCAACATAATGTTTTCCAGATTCATTCACAATGTAGCAAATATCAACACTTCATTCCTTTTTGTGGCCAAATACTATTCCATTGTGTATATATACATGTATATATAGATTTTATTTATTTATTCATCTTTCAATGGTCATTTGAGTTTTTTCACTTTTTAGCTATTCTGAATAGAGCTTCTATGGACATTGGTATGCAAGGTTTTTGTGTAGTCATATGTTTTCAGTTCTCTTGGGTATATACTGAGGAGTGGGTTTCCTGGGTCATAAGATGTAACTCTATGTTTTAAATTTTTGGGCGGCACCCATAGTTTAGTGGGTAGGGTGCCGGCCACATACACCAAGGCTGGCGTGTTCCAGAACAACAATGACTACTGCAACAGTAACAACAACAAAAAATAGCCAGGCTTTGTGGTGAGTGCTGAGGCAAGAGAATCTCTTAAACCAAAGAGTTTGAAGTCGCTGTGAGTTGACACCATGGCACTCTACCCAGGGCGACAGCTTGAGACTCTGTCTCAAAAAATAAATAAATAAAAATAAAAAATTATAAATTTCTGAAAAACTGCCAGACTATTTTCCAAAGTAGTCACTCAGTTAAATTCAAATTTCCATAAACAATGAGTATGTCCCCTACAATACTTGGGACATAGTTATGCTAAAAATTTATAGGTTATTTATCTGAAATTTTAACTTAACTGGGTGCCTTGTGTTTCATCTGGCAGCCCTCCACTAAGTAAACATCAGGTTGTAGCTTGCTTACCCCAAGTGATGGGACGTTCATGTCCTGTAATGGCCAACTGTTCTGATTCTGATTACTTTTACCTCATAGTTCTCCTTTAGTCCAGGCTGAGGTAGACATGTGACCCAGAGTCATTTATTGACCTCAGCTTCTCTGATTTGTTCAGGGTAGACATATGACCTTGACCCAAGTTCAGCCCATCAGAGCCTTCCCTGAGACTTTACCTGAAATTCTGGGAAAAGAGAGGTTTCCTGAACCAGGGGCTGTTGGGCTAGGCAAATGGGGACCTGCTAGAGGGACAGCCACCAGAGAGGTCTCAAATGCCCCTGCTCCATCTCAACTACACAGAACTCCCTCCCAAATGACTTTTCGATGGGCAACAGGGAGTGTTTATTGACTGACTAACTGAATAAATGAATGCAATTTTTCCATAGTGAACACCTATGTGTCCTTGAAAACCTACTTCAAGTTGTCTTTGAGAAGCAACAGAGAACATTTATTGAATGAATAAATACGATTTTTTTCTTGTGAACTTCTACATGTCCATCAAAATCCTTCTCAAACGTCTCCATGAGGGGCATCAGGAACTGTGGTTTTTGTTTTTTTGGTTTTTTGGGTTTTTTTGAGACAGAGCCTCAAGCTGTTCCCCTGGGTAGAGTGCCATGGCATTACAGCTCACAGCAACCTCCAACTCCTGGGCTCAAGCGAGTCTCCTGCCTCAGCCTCCCAAGTAGCTGGGACCACAGGCGCCTGCCACAACGCCTGGCTATTTTTTGGTTGCAGCCGTCATTGTTGTTTTTGGCAGGCCCAGGCTGGATTCAAACCTGCCACCTTAGGTGTATGTGGCTGGCGCCTTCGCCACTTGAGCCACAGGTGCCGAGCCGAACTTTTTTCTTCGTAGCCTTCTACATATTCTTTAAAACATCCTCAAATGATCCTCTAAAGGCATTAGAAGGTCTTGGTTGAATGATAAAAAAAATGTTCTTATTGATGAATGATGCTTATAAATGTATTTGTTAAATGAAGGAATATATTTTCTCCTTGCAAACTCTTATACATCTTTCAATACCCTCTTTGGATGCCCTTCAAGGACAAAAGGGCCTTTTGGCTGCATGTCAGGCTTAGGGTCATTTTCCCTGAGGAGAAGGAAGAAGAAGGGGAAGAAGGGGTGGGAAAGTGCTGCAGTTCCTCTTGTCATGTTTTCTGGGGCCCCTGTGACCTAGTCCTGCCTGCTTCCTTCCTCCAACCCCCTCTAGTCTATATGGTATCTGAAAGTGGGGCAGCCCTGGGAGCTTATCTCAGCTGAGCTTCTGAGGCAGCCAGGAGGGACTAATAAGGGGCCCCCAGGCAGGCCTAGAGAGGGAGGGAAGGAAGTGGTTGTGGCAAGATGTGGCAATGTGGTGTGGGGGCAGGGTGGGGGTGATGCGGTGAGCCTTGGTGTGAGCTCAGGCTGTGACCTTGATAAAGATAGAAATACCATCTCACATTTGTCTGGGGTCCTCCTCCCCCGCTCACACACCCACCATGACTCTCCAATGCCCATGGAGAAAACCAAGCCCTTCAGCCTGGTACTTGAGAGCCCTGCCCGCTTCTCTGGCTTCATATTGCCCCACAGATGAAGAACCCCAGACCCACCATATTCATCTTGTTGTTTTCCAAAGCATATCCTCCAGACTCTTACATCTGTTGTGGCTTCTGTCAAGGGTGCCTTTTAGTTCTATGAAGTGTTCCTCCTCTGGGCAGCCCTCCCTTATTCACCTCAAAGCACCCAACTTCCATCCCTCCTTGACCCCAAGGGGCTGAGTGCATCAACGTCCATCTCTACACCACCACATGTATCTACCTCCCTTGAAGATTTTCCAGTGGCTGCTCTGACTTCAGGAGTGTGGGAAAGAAATGTGACAAGGCAGAAGCTGCAGGAAGCATCAACAATGACAAATCACACTGGCCAGCTGGTAGGGAGCATTTGCCCAGAGCCATACCCTCCCTTCATCCTCACAACAGCCCATTTGCCAGTGGAGAAACTGAGGCCTGGGAGAGCCAACTTTGGTGGGGATGGGGAGACCGCGGGGCACGGGCCTCACTTCTAAAGGGGCACAGCTCTTCCTCACTGGGGGCGGTTTGAATCCATCTCTTCACCTCCAACAGGATGTCAGGTGGTCTGAGTATCTCTGGACCCACTTTTCACATCTGTGAAACGGTGCAGGTGATGGAGTCTCCCAGAATGGGGGCAGGGGTCTCAAGATGGTTGAGAGAGAACTAGGAGTTTGCTCCTATTTCCAATTATCTCCTCCATCTTTCTTTATGTTTCTCTCAATCTGTCTCTCCTCTCTGTATCTCGGTTTCTCTCTCTGTCCCTTCCCCAGGCCTCATGCATCAATCCCTTAACCCACCCTACCCCCTTGCTCAGGCCTGCACCCTGAGACTGGGGAAGGCTGTTCTGTGTGGGGTCATGGTGTCCCCGTCCCCACTGTGCCAGGCCCAGGACACTGCCTCATTGTCCCCAAGGCACTGACCTCATAGCCTGCTGGGCGCCTGACCCTGGCCATTCCAGCTGCCTCTTGGGGTCAGGCTCCTTAAAGGAGGGGCTTCCTCCCCTAAGGTTGAGCTAAGGCAGCTAACACTGCTCTCCTGGGTCTCAGTTTCCCCAGATGCCCACCCCCAGGAGAGAGACCCTCACCCCCTCTCTCCTCATTTCTCCTGGACTCTGAACATTATTTTGTTTAGGAGAAAGTCTCATAGCCCCAAATTTACCATTTTAAAGCAAAAAATTCCCTGACATTTAGTATATTCACAGTGTTGTGCAACCACCACCTCTATCTAGTTCCAGAACATTTGCATCACCCCCAAAAGGAAACTCTGCATACATCAGCAGTCACTTCTCATTCCCGCCTCTCCCCAGCCCCTGACAACCACTAATCTCCTGTCTGCCTCTGTGATTTGCCTATTTTGGATATTTTATATAAATGGAAGCATACAATATGTGCCCTTTCATGTTCAGCTTTGTCCGCTGAGCATGATGTTTTGGGGTTCATCCATGTTGCAGCTCAGATCAGTATTTCTCAGGGACATTGTGGAGCTTTGCTGACAGTAGCAAGAGAAGGTCACAAACTGAAATACCCAGAGGCTGAGAAATGGAACATGGAGAAAAGACTATGTTGCATCTTGAGGAAGCAATGAGACCATTCAGAAGCTAGAAGCCAGGCGCCCACCGCTGGAATTTGGGATATGGGCATTTTGAGGGGATGCAGCATACTGCAAGCACTTTGTAGCAATTTGTTAGAATGAACCCAAGACATCTGAGTTCACTGGGCTTTAACTTCAGCTCCTGGTCTCAGAAATTGGCTAGAGAGAGCCAGAGACCCAGCCAAGAGTCATGGGACCGGCACCTAGTTATCCAGTGTGGGTCTGAGGCGAGCAGGGCAGAGCCCCTTGACTTGCCCCAAGGGTGGATTTGTGGCCAGGATGAGGTCACCACCACCAAGCTGACTTCCTGGGTTTCTTTCTCTTTCATTTTGACTTGCCCTAGTATGGGATGTAACACTTGCCTTTTTTTTTTCTTTTTCTTGCTTAGATTCAATGTGTTCAGGGTGGGGACGGGGCAGCTGGGACTCGCCAGTGGCGCAGAGGCTCCCCTGGGACTGCAGGCCTCCACGTGGACACAATGGGGGGGCCTGTGACAAGGCTCTCCTTCCTCTTTCTCCTGCTGTCCAGGCAAAGTGGTGAGTTCCCCATCCTGGCATGGCACTGCTTCTCTTGCTGGGGGTAGGGATGTGTGTGTGTGTATAGAGGGTTATGGGCCTGGTTTGAAGGTTGGTTACCTTTTCTCTGTTCCTCAGTCTTTCCCTCTGTCAAATGGGAGATAGCTGATCATGGTTATTTGGTCAGACTTGGATAATCTCTCCTTCTGTCTTGATTTTCTCTTCTGTGAAATGGACTACATATTTCACACTTCCCGGAGTTCAATAAGTATATTATATATAATGCATACAGGATACAGTGTACATACATAATATATTGTATACAGTTGTTCCATGGAGGTTTGGTTCCAAGACCCCCTGCAGGTATTTAAATCTTTGGATGCCACTCCATATAAAATGGTGTAGTATTTGCATCTAACCACATCTTCCTATACAATTCAAATCATCTCTAAAAGCCAATGTGATGGCTCATCCTCTAATCCAGCACTTTGGGAGGCCAAGTTGGGAGGATCACTTGAACTCAGGAGTTTGAGACAAGCCTGAGCAAAAGCAAGAGCCTATCTCTGAAAAAAAAAATAAAGAAAATTTATTCAGGTGCGGTGGCACAGTCCCCTACTTGGGAGGCTGAGGCAGGAGGATTCCGTGAGCCCAAGAGGTGGAGGTTGCAGGGATCTATGATGACACCACTGTGCTCTAGCCAGGTGACAAAGTGAGACCCTTTCTCTAAAAAATATACATAGATCATCAATGGATTACTTATAATACCTAATACAGTGTGAATGCTATATAAATAGTTGTTATACTGTATTGTTTAGGGAACAGTAGCAAGGGAAAAAGTCTACGTATTCCGTACAGATGAAACTTTTCTTTTAGCATATTTTCAGTCTGAGGTTGGTTGAATCCACAAATACAGAACCCATAGCCCATCTTGTGACATCTGGTGAGAAGGAGCTCAGTCCACCATGGATAGTTAGGTTTGGACTAACTATTGCCGCTGTGTGACTTTAGGCAACTTGTTTGTCTCTCTGTGCCTCACTTTTCCTCTCTGTACATTGGACATCAGAAGGGAGCTGATTCTTTAGATGCAACAGAATATGTGCAAAGTGCTCAGGGCAGGGGCAGCCACTCTGCAGGGCTTCAGGGCCTTTGGGGGCCTTGCATGGTGGGAGACCAGCATTGAGGCGAGGGAGCCTAGATTCTTTTTGAGGAGTAGCCCACAGGGTAGCTTGCTGATGGTGGCAGTGAGTGGTCAGCCCTAGTTATAGGAAGGAGGTGCGTGGGCTTTAGGGTGCAGGGGGGTGGTGGATCTGTGTCATCACAGAGAGACATGATGGTAGATAGATGGACAAATGGGTTGGTGATGGACAGATGAATGGGCGGGTGAATAGGTGGGTGGACGGGTGGATGAGTGGGTGTGTGGATGGATGGATGGATGAATGCTTGAATGGATGGTTATGTGGCTGGGTGGGCCAAGTGGTGACATGAAAGGATGGAAAACTTCTGGGCTGAAGCGATCCTCCTGCCTCAGCCTTGTGAGTAGCTGGGACGACAGGCAGCTGTTACCCGCGGTAGAGTGTTGTGTCATAGCTCTCAGCAACCTCAAACTCCTGGGTTCAAGCAATCCTTTTGCCTCAGCTTCCCAAGTAGCTGGGACTATAGGGACCTACCACAAAACCTGGCTAATTTTTCTGTTTGGTAGAGATGGGGTCTCTCTTGGCTGTAGCTGGTATTGAACTCCTGACCTGAAGTGATCTTCCTGCTTCAGCCTCCCAAAGGGCTAAGATTACAGGCATGAGCCACCACTCCCAGCCTCCCCCAAGAATTCTGATCTGCCTGCAGAGTTCCGGGCAGTTTCTCATTGTGTGAGTGCTGTGGGATGCTGGGCTCTGCCTGATCCTATCTGCATACTCCTCCCTTCCTCTCCCTTCACCACCCTTCTCCTCCCTTCCCCTCCCTTCCCCTCCCTTCCCCTCCCTTCCCCTCCCTTCCCTTCACTTCCTTCCCTTCCCTTCCCCTCCCCTTCTCCCCTCTCTCTCTTTTGACAGGGTCTTGCTCTATAGCCCCAAGTAGAATACAGTGGCATGATCATATCTCACTGCAACTTCAAACTCCTGTCCTCAAGTAATCCTCCCACCTTGGCTACCCAGAGTGCTGACATTATAAGCATGAGCCACAACACCCAGCACTGCTTCCTCTGTCACCCAATTCCACACCTGGAAGACACTGGCACTCCAGAGGGGCATGGGGCAGCCAGTGGCCCAGGGAGGTTGCTGCCTCTTGGGGAACTGTCCATGGCTCCACTGCTGATAGGTTATGTGCCTGCCTGGGCTGGCTCAGGATCCTCTCTCTCCAGTATACCCTGCAGTTCTGCCTCTACTCCCTCTTCCCAAAGTGGCTTAAGACGCTGCTGGCATCCCAGCACGACCTGCTGTTTTCTGTGCTTTACTGCTGGGGGAACCTCCCTATCAGGGCCCCCAATTATGTATCTCAGTCTCCACTGTAGACTTTCCACCCAGCCTCCAAAGACTAATGGGTGGTAGATAGATGGACAAATGGGTTGGTGATGGACAGATGAATGGGTGGGTGAATAGGTGGGTGGATGGGTGGATGAGTGGGTGTGTGGATGGATGGATGGATGAATGCTTGAATGGATGGATGTGTGGCTGGGTGGGCCAAGTAGTGAGATATGAAAACATAGATGGGTGGATAGATGGATGGAAGATGGATGAAAAGGTGGATGGTTGAACGGAAAGATGTGTGACTGGGTGGATAGATTGGTGGAGTAGATGGATGGGCAAATGAATACATAGATGGGCGGGTGAGTACACAGAGGGAAAGGTGGGTGGGTGGGCTGATGGTCACTTGATAGACCCCCAGTCTGAGCCCTTGTCCCCACAGTGCAAGGCCAGGATGTCATTATCTCTTTGTTGCCTTTGCAGCTGCCTGTGGGACAAATGAGTGCTGTTTCCAGGACCCACCATATCTGGACGCACACTCAGGTTTGGGCTAGTCCTTCACTGGAGGTGGAGGGCCATGCCAAGCTGTTCCTGACCCCATCCTCAGACACCCTCCACCCAGCCAAAGACCCAGCCCCACCTATGGTCTTGGGGGTCCCAGTCCATTTTCACCAGGTTCAGGGTGACTGAGAGCAGTCACCTGAGTCCTGTCTTTTTCCTACCAGGGTCACAGGGCTGGTGTCTGTATCTGTTCAGATTGGTCAGTGCATGGGACAAAGCACCTTAAGCATTCTGAAGTCCCCCCACCAGCTCACAGCAGGCATTGCTGGAACATTTATGTTCGTAATGCACTCTACAGAGGGTCTGGGCACTGAACAGGCATGTCATCCATTAATTCATTCAGTTACCATTTATAGAGCACCTACCATGTGCAGACACGGTTCTAGGCATAGGGGATCAGCTGTGAGCCCCACTGGCCTCTGCAGGCAAACGAATGTCCATACTGCATATAAGGACATGTGTGGAGAAACAGAGGAGGGTGAGGGTTAGACAGACAGGAGACTGCTTTGGGTTGGCTGGTGGTTGAGGAAATGACCCTGAAGAGGAAGGGTGTTCCAGACAGAGGGCGTATCATGTGCGAATCCCCTGAGGTGGGAGTAAAGGTGGCACATCTGAGAGCCGGTAAGGAGGATGGTGGGACAGGAGTAGGCTGAGCCAAGGGATAGCAGGAGACAAGGCCAGGAGGGCACAAAGAGGGTGCTGGGAGCCACAGCAGGTTTAGGCTGAGGTGATACTGTAAGCTGTAAGTGTCACAAAGATTTGTCCTAGGTGCAGAGACTTCCTGCCCCCAAGCACATATACATTGGTCTGTTCCAAAACGTATGGGATCTTTTCCAGGTTCAGCTTTGGGCCCCAGGAACCTGAGCTGCTATCGGATATCTTCTAGCGCCACTTATGAGTGTTCCTGGCAGTATGAGGGCCCCACGGCTGGGGTCAGACACTTCCTGATGTGCTGGTGAGCACCCCACCTCTGTTTTCAAACCCTCACCCAACATCCTACCTTGCTCCTGCCTCCCCTGCCGCTGCTGTGTTCCTGCTCTCAGATGCATGAACTTGGTCATGTTATTGCCTCTCCTTGGGCCTCAGTTTCTTATCCAAGAAGGGAGGGTTGGGGACACTGTGCAGAGTCAGTGAGGGTGGGCATTCCAACATGGGTGGCCATGAGGGTGTCTGTATTCCTCCCTTCTTCCTCTCCCTTTCACTTATTTATCCATCCATCCAGCCAGCCATTCATCTACCCATTCATTCCTTTCTTCCCTCTGTGGCAGCCCATAGCCCATGTTGGAAGACTCTGGGGTCCTCAAACCCCACAATCCCAGGCTGATACCCAAGGAACCCCCAAGCTAGGAGAGGGGAAACAGAAGGGCAGAAAAGGATTCTGGGATGTGATGCACAGGGTCTGCTGTGGTTACCGAGACTTTGGAGTCCTCTTAGGACCCCATACTTGGCACCGACATCCTCCTTCCTGCAGCCTAAGTCCCGGGCACTGCTGCTACTTTACCGCGGGCGCAGACACCAGCCGGCAGTTCTCTGACCAGGATGGGGTGTCTGTGCTGTATAATGTCACATTTTGGGTGGAATCCCGGGTCGCGAACCGGACAGAGAAGTCACCTGAGATCACCCTGCAGCTCCACAGCTCAGGTCAGCAACCCGTTCTCCTCCCTATTCCTTCTACACACAGAGAAGTCACCAGGGCCCAAGTGTGGATCTGGGGGGATTCCAGGCCCCTGGCAAGGGGCTTGATACTTCTAGATATTGCCGCATTAAACACTGTGTGTGGCATGAGATTTTTCATGAGCCCCTTACCATTCCACTCTTGTTGGACACTTAAGATTGTTTCTGGTGTCTGTGATCCACAATGCTGCCAGGACCCTGTTGGGCTTTTAATATCTGTTTTTATGACTCAGCAACATGTCTTGGCATGCAGCTGCAGAGCTGCTCCTATGTATCATACTCAGTCACAGGGGATGTGGGCAAAGCTGAGAAGGCCTGGCACTCGAGTTAGGCGAGTGGGGCATCTGCCTTTGGCACGAAATGTAGGGAGGTGCCAAAAATTTCAGTCGTCAGCAGCAGCAATACTGTAATAACAATATTTTAAAAATCAAAATTAGTGCAAAAAATATATGTGATGAACAAAATGTCAATTCTTTTTTGAGACAAAGTGTCACTCTTGTTACCCTGGGTTGAGTGCCATGGTATCATAGTTCACAGCAAGCTCAAACTCTTGGGCTTGAGCAATCCTCTTGCCTCAGCCTCCTGAGTAGCTGGGACTACAGTCGCCCACCACAGCACCCAGCTAGTTTTCCTATTTTTAGCTATTTCTATTTTTCTATTTTTTCACTTTTGCTCAAGCTGGTCTTGAACACCTGAGCCCAGGCAATCCACCCACCTTGGCCTCCCAGAGTGCTAGGCTTACTGGCCTGAGCCTTCACACCTGGCTGGAATTTTATTTTATTTTTCATTTATTTATTTCAGTGATGGGGCTCAAAATGTCAATTTTTAAAAGAAATGCAGGGTCTGACACTGTGTTTGTACAACCTCGCCTCTCTACCCTCACCCTAACCTCAGCCCTGTTCCCTGCCTTCACGGAGTCCAAGTTGAAGTGGTGGCAATGAACAAGGCATGATGATTATACGTGTACATAGTAAGACTCTACTAGGAGATGAGGGAGGCCTCTAGCTGGAATTGAGCCCTGAAGGGGAAAAGGATAAAAAGTAGCCAGCAGAGGTGGTGCCTGTAGCTTAGTCAGCAGGGCGCTGGCCACGTACACCTAGGGTGGCGGGTTTGAACCCGGCCTGGACCTGCTAAGCAACAATGGTAACTGCAACCAAAAAATAGCAGGGTGTTGTGGCCAGCACCTGTAGTCCTAGCTACTTGGGAGGCTGAGGCAAGAGAATCCCTTAAGCCCAAGAGTTTGAAGTTGCTGTGAGCTGTGACATCACAGCACTTTACCAAGGGCGACATAGTGAGACTGTCTCAAAAAAAAAAAAAAATGAAAGAAAGAGAGAAAGAAAGAAAGAAATCAAGTATAGTATGATCAAGGTGCAGCAAGAATGCTTTATGTCTCTATTTAGTTCAGGCTCCTTGAAATGGGCCTAAAAATTTAACAAGATTTCTTTAACAGTCCTCCCCCCCAAATGGAATCAATTACCCTGTCTCCAGCAATTTACAAAAGTCCTGTCTCACCACAGCCTTGCCAGCAATAGGTATTAATATTTTATAGATATCATCATTAATAGCTTCTGGTATATAAATCTTGATTCATTGAATCACAGAATACCAGGCTTAGCTGGGACCTGCAAGGGTGTCCATAATTCACATTTAGGGGACTTAGTTGGCTACCTTAGTTGGTTAATTGGTTAGTGAGCCAATTTTCTGGAATTTTTGAGACCTGTCAACACACACACACACACACACACACACACACACGTGGACTGCCACTCCCCAATCTTCCAATCTTCATCTCTGCTTCTAGTTAAATATGACCCTCCTGGGAAAGACATCAAAGTGTCCAAGTCATCGGGACAGCTGCTGATGGAGTGGGAGACCCCAGCCCACCAGGATAATGCCAAAGTACAATTCCGGTACCGGACAGCCAACGGCCCGTGGAAGTTGGTGAGTTTATTTCCCAGGTCAGAGGTGGCCACAGGCCACTCCAGGATTGCCTCCTCCAAATCAGTCTCTAAATCCACACTATGGATGAGCCTGGAGAACATTATGCCCATGAAGTAAGCTGGCGACAGCCATCACCTCTCCACTCTTGCCCTGTGTCTAGTCCTTGGGGTCAGATTTGTGACCTCCCCTCACACCCTCCATGGCTCCCTGTTACCCTCAGGAAAGTGTCCTCATTCTCAGCCTCCATCACCTTCCTTGTGCTTTCTGTGACGCCCTCCTGAATGGCCGCCATTCTTTGCCCATACCTTGGGTTTCCGGCCTCCTTGCTTTTGTACCTGCGGGTGCCTTCACCTGTACACCCTCCCCTCCATCTGAGCACATGCAAATCCAGCCCAGCCCTCAGGGTCCAGCCCCAGGGCCACCCAGAAAGCTACTGTTCCATTCATCTATTCATCCATCCCATCTCTGACCTCATTCCCAAGGGTCCCCCAGTTTAGGGGACACAGAAGCCCCACCCCACCCTCTAAACTGTGGCCAATCTCTTCCTCAGACTGGGAATATCCTGAGGGCAAGAAGCTACCCCAGCTTCAGCCCCATCTCCCTTCCAAACATTGTGTCCCTCCCTGAACCTCAGTCTTCCCATTAGGTAAATGGGCATAAAATCAGCCTGTGATAGGTGACCTAGGACCCCTGATTGAAGGAATATCTCTTCATGTTTTATTTGAAGCCCCCTAAATATACTCTTCCTTAGACCCTTTTAGCCCCCTTAATAGATGAGGAAGTTGAGGCTCAGGATATTGACAAACATGGTTAGGGTAACACAGAGAGTGTAGGACAGGCTGAGTCCAACACCACAGAGAGAATTGAGAGTTACCATTTTCTCTCCTAAAATAATGTTTAAACATAAACTGTTTCTTTTGGAATAATCTCAGATCCTCAGAAAAGTTACAATATAAAGTACTGGCTGGACACAGTGGCTCACGCCTGTAATCCTAGCACTCAAGGAGGCCAAAGAGGGTGGATTGCCTGAGCTCAGGAGTACAAGATCAACTTGAGCAAGAGCAAGACCCCATCTCTACTAAAAACAAAAAAAACTAGCCAGGTGTTGTGGCAGGCACCTGTAGTCCCAGCTACTTGGGAGGCTGAGGCAAGAGGACCGCTTGAGCCCAGGAATTTGAGGTTGCTGTGAGGTACAATGCCACAGCACTCTAACTAGGGCAACAGAGTGAGACTTCATGTCAAAGAAAAAAATACAATACAAAGTACTACAGATAGCTTCCATATACCCTTTACCCAAATTCCTCTGATGATGATGTCTTACATAAATTCCAGATATTATTTGGCTGTCACTGATTTTCCCATGAATGTTCTTTTTCTGTTCTGGATCCAATCTAGGGTGCTGCATTGTATTTAGTAAGATAATTTTTTAAAATTTAAAACAGCAAATTTTCAACATCAAAATGTAAAATAATGTATAAATATGTTCTCATTCTAGGGCGACTGTAAACCCCAAAATGATACGGGTGAGAATAATACTAGTAGTAACAAGAACAACAGCAACAGCTACAGCGAGTTAACATTAATTGAGCACCTACTGTATGCTGGGTCCAATGTTAAATTCTTTGTATACCCCTTGCCCTGCTCTGTAGTTAAGAATTGGATTATCACCATCTCACAGGTGAGAAAACAACTTAAAGGTTGGGGGATGAGAAACCATTGGCCAAGGTCACAACCCAAGGGGTTTCCAGGACTTGAACCCAGGATAGGAGCAGAAGTGGATGATCCTGAAGGCCCAGTGAGGACAGGGCCAGGCCTGTTCCTCCTGAGTCTCCAGGGCTGGCACATGATTATGCACACAGCTGGAACTCAATAAATGCACAATGGCTAAGTAAACAATGCCTAGTCCTGAGCAATTCCCACACCTGCAGTTTGATTTGCCTCTCCCCAGAGTCCTGTGTCTGCCCCCTGGAGATGGAGGTGGCCAGGGAATTTCAGCTACGAAGAAGAAGACGAAGAGAGCACCCCCGGCTGGGGGTCCTGGAAGTTCCCTGGAGCAGCTGGAGCAGTCCTGTGTGCATCCCCCCTGGTGAGAGTGCCTTGGGTCACAGCAGTGAGGGCAGGCCTTAGAAATAAGGCAGTAGGTACTAGAAACAAGGCAGTGGTGGCTGGGTGCGTTGGCTCACATCTGTAATCCCAGCACTTTGGGAGGCTAAGGTGGAGGATCACTTGAGGACAGGAGTTTGAGACCAGCCTGGGCAACAGCAAGACCCTCATCTCTACAAATAAATTAAAAAATTAGGTATGGTGGCTTGGCACCCGTAGCACCATGGTTATAGTGCCAGCCACATGCACCAAGGCTGGCAGGTTTGAGCCCAGCCTGGGCCAGCTAAAGAACAATGACAACTGCAACAAGAAAATAGCCAGGTGCTGTGGTGGGCACCTGTAGTTCCGGCTACTTTGGAGGCTGAGGCAAGAGAATCACTTAAACCCAAGAGTCTGAGGTTGCTGTGAACTGTGACACCATGGTACTCTACTGAGGGCAACATCATGAGACTCTGTCTCAAAAAAAAAAAAAAAAAAAATTAGATGTGGAGGCATGTGCCTGTAGTCCCAGCTTCTCAGGAGGCTGAGGTGGGAGGACCACTTGAGTCTAGGAGTTTAAGATTGCTGTGTGTTAGGCTGATGTCACTGCATTCTAGCCTGGGCAGCAGAGCAAGAACCTGTTGAAAGAGAGAGAGAAGGAATGGAGGGAGGGACAAGAGGGGGGTATTAGAAATAAGTAAGTGGGAGAAATTAGTGTTCAGACCCTCCCAATGCAGTACCTGGCCTTTAGGAGTTTATCAAGTAAGAACCATCAAGTCAAGCCTCACAGTGTCTTAAGGACAATGTCACCTCCCTGGGGAGCTCAATGGGCTGTGCCCCTAACTCTGGGCAATGGGAAACGAATAGGGCCATAACTCTGCCAAACACATGTTTGTGTTCAAAGAAAAACTTGGAGAAAACAAAACAAACAAAAAAACCCAAAAAGAAAAAAAAAAAAAACCTCAGGCAACATGAAGTCACAGTGACAGTTATCCCCGAGAATGGAGAGGCAAGGAATACTGGTTTCCCTTCTGCCATTTTTCTTCCCTTTCTGTCTTTGGGACAGTAAGCAAGTTTCACTTGGTAAACGTGGCAAGTTCATAATTTATAAAGAAAACTTCTCTCAGTCTTTTTCTCCTTCCAATTCATCCTGTTGGTTTGGTTCTGGTTGTAGAACCACCCCCACAGCCAGAGGCGAGGTTATCAGTGGAGCAGCTTGGCCAGAATGGGAAGAGGAAGCTCACCCTGGACTGGCAGGTAAGGGGACCATTGCGGGGCTGTGGTGTGGCCTGGGACAGACAGCAAGAGACAAAAAGTTGGCTCTGCGCCTGTGGCTCAAGTGGCTAAGGCGCCAGCCACATACACCTAAGGTGGCGGGTTCGAATCCAGCCCAGGCCTGCCAAACAACAATGCTGGCTGCAACCAAAAAGTAGCCGGGCGTTGTGGCTGGCGCCTGTGGTCCCAGCTACTTGGGAGGCTGAGACAGGAGACTTGCTTGAGCTCAGGAGTTGGAGGTTGCTATGAGCAGTGAAGCCATGGCACTCTACCCAGGGGGACAGCTTGAGGCTCTGTCGCAAAAAAAAAAAAAAGACAAAAAGTTGGAGGGGAGCGAGAAGTGGGGGATGGAGGGACATAAGTGTGGAGGTGGCAGGGACTGGGCAGATTATAGATTTAACTTGGAAGGTAATGGGGGAGGGGCAAAGAGTGTGTATGAGCGGGAAAAGGACATTCAGGTGTTTACAGGCATTCTTTGGCTCCTATGGTGGGGGGACTATTGTCCCTCCTATGGTGGGATTGGGCAGAAGCCAGAAGGCCAGCAAGGAGGTGATAGTAACTGTATTAACACAGGTGAGAGATTATTGCTTTAAGTCCCAAAGCAACCCCATTAATTGTAGTCTAATTTGCTCCATTATATAGGGAAGGAAACTGAGGCACAGAGGGAAATTCTCTATAGGGTAAAAGTGACTAATAGTCCACCCACCGATTTCACTTTAGTTGACCTAGCCACATCCGTAATGAGTTACTGTAAGCCCATTACTATAGGGCTGCAGCAAAACTCCTTCATATCCCATGGTTTCCTCTAATTTGAATTCCTTTTCTTAGGAAAGGCTTTTTAGGCTTGAGGTAACTGGGTCCAAAAGTGAAAACTTTTCCCCCCTGGTTTTCAGTAGGTTTTGTCAATCCCCCACCCCCAAAATCTGGATGTGAATGCCTGTTCCCCAGCATTGAGGTTTATTGTTTTTTTAATTTTTGGTGCATGTCATTGGCTGTGGCCCTTGGTCAAGTCTGTCTTCCAGCATGTGTTCTGCTGAATACCCATGGGATGATGAGTATGATAAGGTCCCCACAATTTGTCTCTCATACAACAGCCCAAACAGCATGAGCTACCAGAAGGCTGCCAAGGGCCTGTGTCTGATGCAGTGGTGACCTATCGAGTGTACCTGCACATGCTGTCCTGCTCTTGTAAAGCCACAGCCACCAGGACCCTACGCCTGGGAAAAAACATCTCTCTCTCGGGTGCTGCCTACAATGTGACAGTTGTCTCCAAGAATCTATTCGGGTTTGGCCTGAACCAGACATGGCACATTCCTGCCTACAACCACACAGGTGCCTTCTCTGGGAGGGGAGGGTGACGGGAGGGCCCTTCGGAGCTGAGCACCTACTCTGAGCGTCAGCTAGACCAGGGTAAGATGAGTGAGGCAGAAAAAGTAAAGGGGAAGCCTAATTTAGGGATGTGTCAAAAATTTAAGCAGTCAAGATCCGTAATGCTATAATGCAATCTTTTTCACTCTGTCACCCAAGCTGGATTGCAGTGGTGTCATCATATCTCACAGCAACCTCAAGCTCCTGGGCTCAAATGATCCTCCTGCTTCAGCCTCTCAAGTAGCTGGAACTACAGGTGTGCACCACCATGCCTGCCTAGTTTAAAAAAAAATTCTTTTTGTAGAGATAGGGTCTTGCTATGTTGCCCAGGCTGGTCTTGAACTCCTTGCCTTAAGTGATGCTCTTACCTTGGCCTCCCAGAGTGCTAGGATTACAGATATGAGCCACCATGCCTAGCCATATAATGCAATATTTATAAAAGAGTCTAACCAACAAACTATTGCCCAAGCTGGCCACATGTTCTTGTAACTAAAGTTTTATTGGGAGCAGGCCAGGATCAGGGTAAGGTGAGCAAGGCAGAGTTCTGCAAGTATAGGGTAGAGGTGATCCTGTCTTTATTTTATTAATCTAAAATTCACATAGCCAAATTAACCATTTGAAAGTGAGCAATTCGGTGATGTTTAGTACATTCACAAGGCTGTACACCCATCAGCTCTATCTAGTTCCAGAACATTCCATGCCCCCCAAAGGAAACCCTGTCCACATTAGCGGTCACTCCTTGTTTCCCCTTCCTCCCTCCCTCTCTCTCTTGCTCTTTCCCCCTTCCTCTCCCAGCCCCAAGCAGCCACTAATCTGCTTCCTGTCTCTGTGGATTTGCCTGTTCTGGACATTTCTTTCTTTCTTTCTTTTTTCTTTTTTTTGAGACAGAGTCTCACTTTGTCACCCTTGGTAGAGGGCTGTGGTGTCATAGCTCACAGCAACCTCAAACTCTTGGGTTCAAGGAATCCTCGTGCCTCAGCCTCCCAAATAGCTGGAATTACCGGTGCTCTCCAACAATGCCTGGCTATTTTTAGAGATGGGATCTCAGTCTAACTCAGGCTGGTCTTTAACTCTTGAGCTCAGGCAATCCACCTGCCTCAGCTGCCCAGAGTACTAGGATTGTAAGTGTGAGCCACTGTGCCTGGCCTTGGACATTTCTATAAATGGACATTTCCATAAGTGGTGCACTAATTAAAGGCTTCCCCTTTAATTAGGCCTTTGTGACTGGCTCCTTCAGTAGCATGTTTTCAAGGTCCATCCACATTGTGGCAAGTGTCGGTGCTTCATTCCTTTTTACGGCTGAGTAACGTTCCACTGCACGGATACGCCACATTTCGTCCATTCATCAGTTGATGGACATTTGGATGTTTCTACCTTTTGACTGTTATAAGTAGTACTCACCATATATTTTTGTGTTCATTTTGATTTGTAATTAAATATTAATTACATTACATTAAAATATTGGTTTATCTTGATGACTAAGCTTCTTGGTGCCCCCTTAAATTTTATGCCTGAGTATCCAGCAACACTATAAGGGTGGGGCTGTCACAATGATGTCCATTTTAGAGATGAGACAACCAAGACTCAGACAGGAGAAGCCACATACCCGAGTATCCAGTCCCTGTGATTAGGGCCACTGTCTTGCTGAGTGGCCTCAGGCTGGTGGCTTTCTCTCTGTGAGCTTGTTTCTGCATCTATAAAATGGGGTGATTGTGGTCCCATATTATAATGTAATAGCACCTGCAAAACACTTGGCACTGGCCTGGTACATACAGCCAGTGCTCAATAAATAGTAGTTGCTGGCAGGGTAAGGTGGCTCACACCTCCCAGAATTTTGAGAGGCTGAGGCAGGAGGCTCACTTGACTCCAGGAGTTCAAGACTAGCCTAGCAACATAGCAAGACCTTATCTCTTAAAAAAAAATTTAGGCTCGGCGCCTGTGGCTCAAGTGGCTAAGGTGCCAGCCACATACACCTAAGGTGGCAGATTCGAATCTAGTCCGGGCCTGCCAAACAACAATGACGGTTGCAACCAAAAATAGCCAGGCATTGTGGCGGGCACCTGTGGTCCTAGCTACTTGGGAGGCATAGGCAGGAGACTCGCTTGAGCCCAGGAGTTGGAGGCTGCTGTGAGCTGTGATGCCACAGCACTCTACCCAGGGGGACAGCTTGAGGCTCTGTCTCAAAAAAAAAAAAGTTTAAATTAGCTGGGCATGGTGGCACGTACTGGTAGTCCCAGCTACTTAGGAGGCTGAGCTTGTGAGTCCAGGAGTTGGAGTCTGCAGTGAGCTGTGATCAGGCCACTGCACTCCAGCATGGGCAACAGAGCAAGACCCTGTGTCCAAAAAAATAAAAATAAAACCTAAATGGCAGTTTCTGTGTTCAGTCTTGGAAACAGTACCCACCCCTCTGAGATTGGTGCAGGCATCCTTGATATAGAGAGTAGGAGAGATTTGCCCAGGGACTGAGTAGATGTGTGCTTGTGCCTCTGAGTTTGGCATTAGAACATCAGTGGGGTCCAGTCAGGCCAGGCAGGCTCGGTCTGCATCGCACTCTCCACCAAGTGAGGCAAGCAGTGGGTGTACAGGCATCTGCTACAGCAGGAGCCACCCACCAGGATGGAGGTGGGAGGGATGGCAGCACAGGGAGCTCTGATGGTGGATGTCTTGCCAGGGAGCACATGGCCAAGCAGGAGGAGGATTCAGCTCATTCAAACACACTTTGTGCTCAGCCCCAAGCAGCCCCCAGTGTGGGGATAGGGCCAGACACAATGTCCCCATCCCTGTGTGGTTAGAGTTAGACAAGAGTAAGATATTGGCACCACAGGAGGGGGCTTAGAAGAGTGAAGGCAACTGTTTTGATGTGATTCTCTCATTCTGCTTCCAGAGTTAGTGGCTCTGAATATCAGTGTTGAAGCCAACGGGACTACCATGTATTGGCCAGCCCAGGGTCAGGGAACAACATATTGCATTGAGTGGCAGCCCCAGGGCCAGGATGCGAGCCTCAGCACCTGCACCTTGACTACCCCCCAGGCCCAGGATCCAGCTAGAATGGGTACAGTAATGTTGGTTTTCCTGTCTCTGCCTTTGCTGGCTGGCTCAAACCTACAGGGATTATCCATACGGGATGTCAAAAGGCCAGCAATACATTGCCATTTACCCAAGGTCACACAGAGGTGGGCACAGGCTGAGACTTGGACCTTCTCATCCATGTGGGTTTGTAGCCTTCTATACTCAGCCCTGGGCAGATTGCGCCTGGCGGTTAATGAATCTCAAGTTCCCAGGGTGTTTGTTAAATATTTGTTTGCACTATGGAAGGTGGAAGCTAGTGAGATGCTGGTGACAAATTAATAAGGTCTCTGGAGGGTGAGGGGGGCTGCGTGGCCCAGGAAGCCTCTTGCTCTCTCACTTCCTGCTCTGGGCCTCTGAAGCCCCAGCTCAGACTGTTTCTTGAAGAGTTTCCAGACTAGGAAGACAGAGCAGACACAGATGCCCTGGCCCCACAGAGTGAGGGATGGGTTAGAGGAGGACAGGGACAGGTTGGGGGAGTTGCCTAGAGAAAGGACCTTGAAGGAGTGGACATTGGTGCAAGGGCTTTTAAGCATGAATAGGAGTATTCTAGGAGTTCCTGGCAGATGACACAGCCAATACAAAGGTGCAGAGGTAGGAACACAATCTATTTAGTGACCTGGTCCCTGGTTTTCCTTCCAGCAACCCACAGCTGGAGCCAAGAATCTGGGGCGATGGGGCAGGAGGAGTGTTACCGGATCATGATCTTTGCCTCTGCACACCCAGATAAGGCCACTTCATGGTCCACAGTCCTGTCCACTTACTACTTTGGGGGCAATGGTGAGTGGCCCAGACCTGCAGGTTCATCTCCCTAGAGAGAAGTGACTCCAAAGACACCTTGAGCAGCATCACCCCATTTTATAGATTAAAAAACTGAGGGTCAGAGTAGTGAAGTGATGGCAACTGAGACGTGGAGCTGGGATTTGAACCCAAACCCACCTAACTCTGTGGCCAATTTTGCCCCTGTCTCTGGATGGTGCTGGGCTAGGCATTCAGGGAGTGCTCAACCATTGCTCTTGGTATTGACTATGGTGATGGTGCTGGTTGTAGTCTCAAAGGCCGGGACCCCACATCACATCTCGGTGAAGAATTACAGCCTGGACTCTGTGTCTGTGGACTGGACACCATCCCTGCTGAGCGCCTGTCCTGGCATCCTGAAGGAGTATGTTGTACGCTGCCGAGATGAAGACAGCAACCAGGTGTGGGGTATGTGAGGCAGTGCAGGCCCAGGCAGGGGAGGAAGCGGTCTTGCCTCAAGGTCAACCTGGGTACTTCACTGCCCCTCTCTGGGCCTCAGTTTTCCCATCCTTAAAACAAGAGAATTGGACTCAAGCAAGTCAGAGTCTTGCTCTGTCTCCCAGGCTGGAGTACAGTGGTACAATCATAGTTTACTACAGTCTTAAACTCTTGGGCTCAAGGGACCCTCCTGCCTTAGCCTCCCGAGCATCTGGGACTATAAGTGTGCACCACAACACCTGGCTTATTTTTACAATTTTTGGTAGAGGTGGGTCTTGCTATATTGCCTAGGCTGATCTCAAACTCCTGGCCTCAACTGATCCTCTCAGGTAGGCCTCCCAAAGTTCTGGGATTACAGGCACGAGTCACTGTACCCAGCCTGGGCTCAAGGGTCTTGGTCACCCCTTCCAGACTCCCAGAGATGGGTAGGTGGGCATCAGCTAAGTGTTCACAACGTCTCCGGTGCATCTATGGTGACCCCTCATGTGAATCAGCAGCTCAACTCCCATCAAGCAGGGATGACTGTCCTGTTCCCATTCTCTGAGGCCCAGAGAAGGGATCCACCTGCCCAATGATCCAACGAACCCAGATCTAACCTCAGTTAGACATCCCTTCCACCCTTTAGGAGGGAAGGAAATGAGAGGTACAAGGCAGGTTTCATTTCCCACCCTGGGGGACATTTTCCCTGGGACTGCAGATACATTGAGGGTCCCCATCCTTCCTGAGAGGTAACACAGCTTTGCAGATAAAGTCTCACCCATCCTCCTCCTACAGCAACAGGTCAGCAAGACATGAGTTCATGTCCTGCCCTACCCTCACCTATGTACTCCCACCATCACCCAGCACTGGGCCCAGCATGAGGGTGATGGGGCATCAAAGACATAGTTATGCTGCCATCATCCCAGCCACCCCCACTTTGTTTAGAGGGGGAAACTGAGGTCAAGTGGCGGGGGTCAATGACTTGTTTAAGGGGGCACAACTGGAGGCAACCCATTCGCTGAAAATCAACTTGCAGAAAACCAAATTGCTGAGGATCAGGCTTGTGGAAGGACCATTTGGCCAGATTCACCAGTTTCCTCAAAATTTCTTCAGGGGAAGAATCCTGTTGAATATATTCAAAGAATATGGATTTGGAGTTCTAGGAATATTTTCTTCTTGATGACAGCCAGGAATGATATTCTCCCCTTGAGGATTGTTATGAAGATTTTTATTTGTTAGATTCATTCAATTCCGCAAACACTGATCGAGATGCCACTGTGTGTTAGAGGCACTCAAGGATGAAGCAGATAAAGCTAGCCCTAACCAGGCAGTGCCTGTGGCTCAGTGAGTAGGGCGCTGGCCCCATATACCGAGGGTGGCAGGTTCAAACCCAGCCCCAGCCAAACTGCAACAAAAAAAATAGCTGGGTGTTGTGGTGGGCGCCTATAGTCCCAGCTACTCGGGAGGCTGAGGCAAGAGAATCACCTAAGCCCAAAAGCTGGAGGCTGCTGTGAGCTGTGACACCATATCACTCTACTGAGGGCAACAGAGTGAGACTCTATCTCAAGAAAAAAAATAATAACCTAAGAAAAGCTAGCCTTAACCTTGACTCTAAAGACCCAAAAGAAGTGAGGGAGGGAACCGAGTGGGTATCTGGGGGTAAAGGTGAATCAGGCAGGGCAACCACCCATGCAAATGTGGGACTGGGCTGGTACCTTTAGGGAGCACTGAAGAGGCAGATGCGGCTGGAGGGAAGTAAAGAGGTCCCAGGACCCATGGCTGCCTCCCCCTTGCAGAGCAGCTGGTGAAGCCTACAGAGTCCCAAGTCACACTCCGTGGCCTGCGGGCTGGCACAGCCTACACGGTCCAGGTGCGAGCAGACACAGCATGGATCAGGGGTGCCTGGAGCCAGCCCCAGCGCTTCAGCATCGGTGAGTGGAGGGGGCAGGGCCCAGTTATTTACTCAGTGTGCACTAAATCCAGCTTCCCATAATGATCTGGGCAGCCCTGCCCTCACTCACATCCCTCCCCTTGCTCCCTATCACCCTTAGGGGAAAGTCCCAACCCAGTCTGCTCCCACGTCCTTCACCTCCTCTTCCTGCAGTTTCTGTACATGACAATTTCCCCACACTCCAGGGCCCTTGCTCATGCAGGCCTTCCTTGCCCGGAATGTTTGTTTTCCCCATCATCAAACTCCCTATTCATGCCTCAAAACCCAGCTCAAAAAACGCTTCCTTCAGGAAGCTTTCCCTTCCTCCTTCTGCCCATGCCCCCATCTACCATTGCTACTCCTACCTTGTCTAACATCCTGGGGTTAGGGGCATCTGGATCAAGCTCTACCTTCCCCAGCCTTGGGGGAGGCTCCAGGGGAAGAAGAGGGAGAGGGGACTGCTTATTAAGTGGATGAATAAATGAGTGTCTCCCTCATTGAAAGGATAAGAAGGACACAGGCTTTGTTGTCCTAGGGTGCACGGTTGTGAGATATTCAGAGACCAAACGATTCCTGTTCATGCCATGGTGCACTTTAAGTCCCAAGAGAAGCAGCCAGATCCAAGAGAACTAATGAGTCAGACTTGGTATGGGGCAGACAGTTCTGGGTCCAGAGGGCAGCCACAGAGGCTGAATGTACAGGTGCCTAGGTTACAGTGTCCTGAGCACTTACTGTGTGGCAGGCCACTATTCGTCAATAGTGACTGAGAAGGTGGGTTCCATGGTCCCCACTTCCCAGACAAGGAAACTGAGGCATCAAGTTTCTGGAGGGCTCAGTCCTCTCAGTTCCCTTCCTGAACGAGAAGCAGAAGTGTCCCTCCTCCAACCCAAGCTCTCCTACCTCCAGAAGTCCAGGTGTCTGATTTGTTCATCCTTCTTGCATCTCTGGGGAGTTTCGTGAGCATCCTCATCCTGGGCATCCTTGGCTACCTTGGCCTGAACAGGTAACTCACACTTTCTCCCCTGATATGATCCATAATAATGACAGATCCATAATAATAAACCCTCTTATCAAGTAGGTATCTGGTTGTGCCAGCTTTACAGATGAGAAAACAGAGGCCCGCATGGTCAGAAATTGGCCCAGGGCACTTAGCAGTGGGGGTGGAGGTGGGATTTGAATCTGAATCTATAGGACACCTCCCCTCCTTCCCTACTCCAATCCATATCTTCACACCCTTTAAAACCTAATGGAGATGAAAAAGTTAAGTCTGAACAACTGAAAAGTAAGAACAGACAGAAGCACTGCTCCTCTGACTGGCCCCCCTTCCTTCCCAGGGCTGCCCAGCACCTGTGCCCACTCTTGCCCACACCCTGTGCCAGCTCTGCCATTGAGTTCCCCAGCAGCCAGGGGAAGCAGGTAAGGATTCCTTTTTTAACTCCAGGTCCTGTTTTTTGTGTGCAAACTCTGGGCAACCCTTTCCCATTTACAGACAGGCGAGCAGAGGCCCAGAGAGGAACCTCCTGTACAGGTCATTTCCTAGCAAAAGAAACAAAACTCAATTGGCGTCAACAACAACAACAACAACAAAAATAGATGGAAAAAATCCCAGGGAGCTGGGCCTCAGACAGGGCTGAATCCAGGAACTAGGGATCTATCTCTCTGTGCTGCTGTCTTCCTGCAGGATTCTGTCTTGGGCAGGTTGAGGTTTCCCCCGTGGAAGGAGGGTGTCCATTTATCCCCATTAACTGGAACATAATTCTCAGGGCCATCACTGATTGGCTCAGCTTGAGTCACATGTCCTACCTTGAGCCTATAGTTGGAACCAGGAGGCTATAAATTCTAAGTTCCAGGTGGCTCCTGTGGCTCAATGGGTATGGTGTCAGAGCCATATACTGAGGGTGGCAGGTTCAAACCCGGCCCCAGCCAAACTGCAACAAAAAAATAGCCCAGTGTTGTGGCGGGCGCCTGTGGTCCCAGTTACTTGGGAGGCTGAGGCAAGAGAATTACCTAAGCCCAGGAATTGGAGTGCTGTGAGCAGTGTAACGCCACAGCACTCTACCAAGGGCGATAAAGTGAGACTCTGTCTCTACAAAAAATAATAACAATAAAAAATAAATAAATAAAAATTCTAAGTTCTCTGATTGCCAGGGTCAGGGTCACATGACTATTGCGAGAACTTGGGTGAAGCTTTTACTCTGCCCAACCACACCACTTGGTAGAAAAAGAGAAGCAATTTTTTTTTATAGAAAAATGGGGTGTGGGTCATTGGAGCAAAGTCTACCCTCAATTTCATATCAGCATTATAGAGAAGTTAGCCAGCAAAGGCTTGGTCCATTCCATCATTGTGTGGATGGGAAACAGAGCCCTACCCACAGCCTTGGCCCCACTCTGTTTCTCTAGACTTGGCAGTGGATCAACCCCGCCGACTTCCAGGAAGATGTGTCCCTACAAGAGGCCCTGGTGGTGGAGATGTCCTGGGACAAAGGCAAGGGGACTGAGCCTCTCAAGGAGAAGACAGAGCTGCACTGCGGTGCTCCTAAGCTGACCCTGGACACAGAGCTGTCCTTGGAAGATGGAGACAGGTGCAAGGATACCTTGAGTCCGTTGTCCTGGAGCCCAGAGAGTAGGACGGTCAAGGGGACACCTTGCCCAGGCAGCTAGACTCTTGCTGTTCTGGGGAGACCTAGAACACAGAGAGCCAGGTTTGGGATACTTGGTGCCCCTGGGGGCCTGAGGGAGAAACAGGAACATCCACTTCATCTTACAGACAAGAAGACTGACTGTTGCAATCATGATGACTGGTTATTAAGTGCTGATGGCATACCCAGCCCAGCCCATCCAAACATTCACTTGATGCCACACACCCCTAAATCCTCACAATTGCCCCTGCAAGGCATTGTGGCTGGTCCCTTTCATAGATGTGACCACTGAAACTGAAAGTGGGTGAATGGCTCTTCTGGGGCCACACAGCATGGGCAGGAGTCAAATTTGGGCCTGAGTGACTCAGGAGCCCTCCTTCCTCAGACTCTAGCCCTCGTCCCTCCTACCCTGACCTACTCTGTCCAGCACCTATTGCTACATATCTTATGGTGGGGACCTAGAAACCACTGTGAAATAGAAGCTACTGCACATGACAGAACCTCACATTGTCCCATTCTTTAGTAAAATAGATTGGGTGATGGGGGGCAAAGGGGACTCAGATTGGCCCCAGAGCCCTGAACTGGGCATCCTGTCCTAGGAGCACTCGACGGGGGTCTGGATGCAGGATTCCCTGCAGCAGTAGGGGGTCTTGAGCCTTGGCGAATCCAAGTGTGAGGGGCAAGAGGGGCTCTAAACATCCTGGGGAAGATCCCTCCCCAGCCTCAAGTCTGCCCTCCACACCCTGTAAAATATGAGTGATGATAATGCTGAACTCAAAGAGCTGTTCAAAGTCACACTAAATGAGCCTCCTCTTGGGTATATCTTTCCTCTTATTGAAGTTCAAATGACCTGCTCAAAATCCCCACATAGGAGCCTGAAAATTCATTCATTCATTCATTCATCCCACACCCATTTATTAATCTCTCCCTCTGGGTACCCTACAAGGGACCTCCAGTCTGGGGAGGCAGAGCTGAATCAGCGTTCGAAATTCTGCAAAGTCAGGACTGACTAATCAGGGAGATGCATGGTTTGGGGGAAGTGGGGCAGCTAGGTCCCCCCTAACAGAAGCCTTGGTTCACCCCCAGCTTCACGCCCAGCGCCCTGCCGCAGGACCCTTGACTTCCATGCACACCCTGAATCTACCCTCTTCCTGCCCACACCGTCATACTTCCCTGCATCCTACCTTGGCAGCCTGGGTTCTCCCACAAAGCTCTGGGGAGGAGGAAAGGGGGGAACCTTAAAATTCCGCCTGTGATAAACAGATGGTCTCAGATTCCCCCTATGGACACTAGGTGGCAGCAGCGGTGCGTGTCTCCCAGGCCTGGCCCGTCTGGCCTCCCCGTGTCTCCCTCAGGCCTTTGCTAAATAGATTTCTCTGGTTTTGGATGGAGGAGGGAAATTAAACCCCCAAACCTTGTAATCCTAGCACCTGAGGGGCGTAGGCCGGTGGATTGCCTGAGCTCACGAGTTCAAGACCAGCCTGAACCACAGCAAGACCTCATTTCTACAAGTAGCTGGGCATTGTGGTGGGTGCCTGTAGTGCCAGCCACTAGGGAGGCTGAGGCAAGAGGATGGCTTGAGCCCAAGAGTTTGAGGTTGCTGTGAGCTGTGATACCATGATATTCTACCGAGGACAACAAAGCAAGACTCTGTCTCAAAAAACAAACAACAACAACAAAACCCAGAACCACTGAATTTTGTGACAAAAAGGGATTAGCCTCTGGGGAAGAGAGTTCTGGAAGCCAATAGGGCCTAGGGGCAAAACACCCAGGCCTTGCTCCTTTGGGGACCTCATTTCCCCATGGAGCCCTGGTTATTTTGTTTTGTTTTGTTTTTTACTTTTTGTAGAGATGGGGTCTCACTATGTTGCCCAGGTCTGTCATGAACTCCTAGCTCAAACGATCCTCCCACCTCAGCCTCCCAAAGTGCTCGTATTACAGGTGTGAGCCACAATGACCAGCCTTGTCCTCCTCATTCTTTAGGGCAGGCACTAAGAAGGAGGCGGTGTGGGGACAGGACTAAGTGGACAGAAAGAAAGGGATGCTGGGGCAGTGGCCTCAGGACAGTGACCCCACCTCCAGGAACTCCAGGTAGCTCAATGCCCCCTAACACACCATCCTGATCCTAGGCTCACACAGTGTTACAGGACCCACTTTGGTGGCCCCTGGAGTTGGCTCCAAACTCATCCTCCAGACAGTCTTTGGGGCCAAGAGTAGGCGACAGGGCATGTTTATGGAACACTGGCTGGAACTTTTGCTGGAGTGTATGGGGAAAATGAACACTTGGCTTTCACTGGGGGAGACTGAGGTTGAAAGCCTCTTTTCTACCATGGGGAAACCTGCCTGCAAGAGCAGTCTCCACAAAGGACAGCAGCACAGAGAGATGGAATAGCAAGCAGCCCTGATCCAGCCATGCCTGAAACCCAAAACTTTTTTCCATCAGGTTTCCTATATTTAGTTGAAGCTGCTTTGAGTCTTCATTCTGCTGCTAGGAAGGTTCTCTCTGAGCCTCAGCTTGCCTATCTATAAAAAAGGAAGGAGTTTGGAGTCCCTACCCCAGTGATTTTAGAGCAGAGCTCTATCCAGAATTGGCAGAGCTCTGATCCAGAATTTATTGAGCAACTACTTTACAATCCATTACTCCAGGGCTCTTCAGAATGTCTATCCCTCAGATTCTCCCAGCAGTTCCAGAAGTCAGGACTGTGGTAGTCCCAGTTTCACAGTCCAGATTCATTCATTCATTCATTTAAGAGAGTGAAAACACAATATTTGCAATTTTTCCCCCCTTTCTGTAGGATGTGTTTTCACTCACTTAAATAGTGTCCTTGGGAGAAGAGAAGTCTTTCTTACATTTCATGGAGCCCAATTCATCTATTTTTCTTTGTGGCTTGTGCTTTAGGTGTCAGTGTTGAGTGCCTACTGTATGGCAGGCCCTCTCCTGCACAAGTCAGAATCTGCCCAGTCGTGGAGGGAGGTTCCCAGTTGGGTGTGGAAGGCAGACACTAATCAATCATAACACAGATAGTTATAATAAACTTGAAGTGGTAAGTGGGAATGTGAAAAACAGGGAATGAGGGAAGACGTCCTGGAGGAGGCAATGGTAAGGCCAAGATAGTAAAGAGGAGCCAGGACAGTGAATGCAAAGGCTCTGAGGCAGGTGTAACTGAGGCGGGGATATAGAAGTTAAAGCCTACTGGGGGTTAGCCACAGTACATGCCTATATTCCTAGCACATTGGAAGGCCAAGGACTGCTTGAAGCCAGGAGTTCAAGACCATCCTGGACAACAATCAAAAAGCAAAAAAATTAGCTGTGTGTGGTGACTCAAACCTGTAGTCCCAGCTACTTGGGAGACTGACGTGAGAGGATCATTTGAGCCCAGGAGTTCAAGGCTGCAGTGAGCTATAATTGGGCCACTGCATACCAGCATGGGCAACAGAGTGAGACCCTGTCCCCCCCACAGACAAAAAAATCCACCGCGGTCTAGGACACTATGAGTGAGGGTTTTTTTCCTTAGGTTGTTGTATTGGCCAGGCATTGTGGCAGGTGCCTTTAATCCCAGGTACTCAGGAGGCTGAGGCAGGAGGATCACTTGAGCCCAGGAGTTTGAGGTTCAGTGAGCTATGATGATGCCACTACACTCTAGCCAGGCAACAGAGTGAGACTCTGTATTAAAAAAAAAAAAAGTTGTGGGATCTGGAACATCAGAGTCAGAATCTGCTGGCGAGTTGTTCAAACATTCTTCTAGCTGCAGTTCAGCTGATAGCAAGTGATTGCTTTGTCCTTGTTGACCTCAGTACTCTGGTCTGTAAAGTAGATGTAATAAGGCAGTGTCTCCAGAACTCCTTCCTCTTTTCTCCCCTCCCCTCCTCTGTCTCAGCTTTTCTTTATAGTCTCTTCCTTTCTCCAAGGCTCCCAGAAGGAGGTGGGAAGCATGCCTGCATCGGGGAGATAGGTTGCCTCAGTTTACCTCTCCCAGCACCTTTTTCCTCTCTCTCTCCAGCAGACTCACCTGGGTATGCTCAGAAGGAGATGTTGTCTCTGCCTCTGCCCTGGCTGGAGTATCAGAGGCTTCTGGGATTGTGGGCTCCAGGAGATGACCCCTTGACACAGGGGCAGGCAGGGAGCTGAACCCCTTGAGGCTTGGTCCCTTACACTTCATTGCCTGTGCCCCAGATGTCAGGCCGTCATTGGCTAGGAACACCCTTCCCCCAACTCTGCTCTCTGCCTATTCCCCCTTTTTAAAAAATATATTTACACAGCATATAATCCAGTGTACAATTCAGTAGTTTTACTGCAATCACAAGGTTGTGCAACCATCACCAGTATCTAATTCTAGAACATTTTCATCTCCCCAAGTGGAAACCCCATCCCCATTAGCAGTCACTCCCCACTGTCCCTCCACAGCCCCTGGCAGCCCCTAATCTGCTTTCTGTCTCTATGGATTTGCCTGTTCTGGACATTTCCTATCAATGGAATACTGCAATATGTGCCCTTGTGTTCTGATCTTTTGTGAAAGAAACTCAAATGTTTTTAAGGTTCATCCATTTTGTAGCACGGATCAGTGCTTCATTCCTTTTTATGGCTGACTAGCATTCTGCTGTATGGATGGATCACTATTTATCCATTCATGAAAGGCATTCAGGTTGTTTCCATTTTTTGGCTGTTGTGAATAGTGTAGTGATGACCATTTGTGTACAAGTTTAGGCATGAATATCTGTTTTCAGTTCTCTTAGGCATATACCTAGGGGTGGGGCTGCTGGTCATATGCTAATTCTATGTTTAACTTATTGACGAACAGCCAGACTTCTCCATAGCAGCTGTACCATTTTACATTCCCTCGAGCAATGCATGAGATGAGGGCTCAGATTTCTCCATAACCTCGTCAACACCTGTTATTTTCTTTTTTCCTTTTTTTTTTTTTTTGATTATAGGATTATAGCTGCCCTAGTGGGTGTAAAGTGGTATGTCCTTGTCATTTTAATTTTCATTTCCCTGGCTGTGCTTTAGGTGTCACAGCTGAGAATTCTCCTGATCTTTGATTTACTTCTTTTGCAGACACCTCTACCCATCCTCTCCTCACCCAGCCTCTCTCACTGGCCGGCCCTGAACCCCCACAACCCGGATGGGGTGTCTGCATCTGGCTCTGTCCCCACTTGGACACCTGTTGGGCAGGTCTTGCCTGCAGGGACAGACACTGAGCAACCTTCATCAGTGTTGAATAATGGAGCAGTCGGAACCTTGGCAGGCATGTGGGAAACCCCGCCCAGCCTAGGTGCCCCTTCATTGCCTGGGGCGATGTGCCCTCCATGGCCATGCAGAGGGGTTGTGACCAAGCTAGGCCCCACTTTCCAAAGGGGAAATTGAGGCCCAGGGGACTGGGTGGGGAGGGAACATGGGACCTGCCTGGTCTTGGGTCTTGGTGGTTAAGGCCACAGCCAGCAAGCTCCTACCTGGAGTCCTCCTCCCTCCCCTGGCCTGGAGCTGCTCCTGGCTCCTGTCCCTGCCCTGGGTTGACCTTGCCAGTAGGAACTGCCTGCTCCCTGTGGCATGGTGAGGCAGTTCCCACCCAAACCAAAACACTGGAGGGAGGGCTGGCGGCAGGAGGGGTGGGTTTTTCCTTTCAGGTTGGGAACTGAAGGTGAAGAGGGAAGTCACACAATATGTCATCAAATGTCTCACAGAGTCCAGGCTCTCCTGCCGATTTGCTGTGCAGCCTGGGCTTCTCTGAGCCTCAGTTTCCCTATCAGTGAAGTAGGGCAGCTAACCTGGGGTGCGGCTGTGAAAAGTGAGTGGGAACTAGGTGGAGGAGGCACTCACCCTCAAAGCTATCACCATCCTTAATAATTTTAAGTCTTATATGATGTGCTCAGGGGCAGGGGCTCCAATGGCCCTTAGGAAGGGCTTTGGCAGCCTCTGCCCAGGGACTGCTATGGCACTCCCTGCTACTGGCCAACTGTGGGGGGAGGCCTGTGTCTTCCTGCCATCCCTCCTCCCTGCCTCTCTCTGTCTCTTTAGCTCTCATTTCTGCCTCTCTCCCTGGGTCTCTCTGTCTCCCTGTGTCATGTCTGTCCCCATTTCCCTTTGTCTCTCTCCCTATCTCTGTCTTTGTCATGTCTCTCTTCTCTCTCCCTGTCTCATTTCTCTTTGTTGTCTCTGTGTCTCCCTGTGTCTATCTCTCCCTACCTCTCTGTCTCTCAACCCTGCCCCAGGATCTCCCTCCCTGGCTCACCTTCCCCATATCCTAATGGCCACCCCCATCCCCCCCGGGGCCTCTCACTTGCTCCTTGGAAGACCCAAACTGCCTAAGAGTCCCTCTGTGATCCTCAAAGCCTAACAGCTCAGGCCCCACCCACTTTTTAGACATAGTCCCCTCCTCATTTTTTAGAAGGTGGAACTAAGGCTCAATCTTGAAGATTGTCATCCAGAGCCCGCAGCCCCAGTGACATTATGGGTCACCCTCCTCCAGCTGCCAGGCTCTGTGACTGTCAGTTTTCCCTCTAGCCTGCTGTCCTAGGTGCCTGTCCCATAAATGGCCAGCACAGAAGTTTCTGCCCCAACAGCCTACTTGATGGCACCCCCACTGTCCAGAGCCAGTTTCCCAGCAGCCAGGTGGCGTTGCGGCTGCCCAGTACCAACCAGGAATGGGGACCATAGGAGGTGTCTAGGAAGGGGCTGCAGGCCCAGGGAAGCTCTAGGGTTCCCCATCAAGCATTGGGCTTAGATTTTGGGGTCAGAAAGTCCCGTCTCATCCTCACTCTCCTTAGCTGTCATCATGGTGTAGAGGGTGTGAAGAGGGCGATACCAGGCTTCACCCCTGAATTCCCAGGCCCTTGGACACCTCCAGCTCTGGGTATGTCCCTCCAGCCTAACCTCAACCAATAGGATTAGGGATAGCTACATGGGGACTGGACCCTTCCAAGCTGGGGCCTTGGCTGTCACCCATATGAGGCAGGCACCTAGAGGTGGCCAGGAGTGAATGAACACATGAATCACATACAATCCTAGAACCACAAAAATTTAAGGCCAAAAAAATCTAAACCTGAATTTTTACCATGTTTACGGCTTCTACCACAGCCCCCTTCTCAACCTGGAAACTTAATAATACATCCCAGGATGGAATGTTTAATGACTCCCAGGCAGGGCACCACCCCAAGTATGGGGTCTAGAGCCAAGACCTCAGGTTTGAACCCTGCCTCTGCCACTAATTATATTTTTTTAAAAGCATAACAGTTCACTGTAAAGACTACAATAACCATTATTTTATTTATTTATTTACATTGTCGTCCTCAGAGTGCTGTGGTGTCCCAGCTCACAGCAACCTCCAGCTCTTGGGCTTAGATGATTCTCTTGCCTCAGCCTCCTGAGTAGCTGGGACTACAGGTGCCCGCCACAACACCTGGCTATTTTTTGTTGCAGTTTGGCTGGGGCCGGGTTTGAACCCGCCACCCTTGGTATATGGGGCCTGTGCCCTACTCACTGAGCCACAGGCACTGCCCAACCCTTATTTTAAATAATTATCAGCACAACATAGTGACAATCTATTACAACATTTCTTTCTTTCTTTTTTTTGAGACAGAGTCTCACTATGTTGCCCTCCGTAGAGGGCCTTGGTGTCACGGCTCACAGCAACCTCCAACTCTTGGGTTTAAGTGATCGTCTTGCCTCAGCCTCCCAAGTAGCTGGGACTACAAGCGCCTGCCACAGCACCCATCTATTTTTTGTTGCAGTTGTCACTATTGTTTAGCTGGCCCAGGCCGGATTTGAACCTGATAGTCTCAGGGTATATGGCTGGTGCTGTGACCACTGTGCTATGGGCACCGAGCCCTCTGCCACTAATTGACTGAAACAATCACTTCACCTCTCTGAGCCTCAGTTTCCCCGTCTGTAAAACAAGGTCAGTCCTGTGTTCAGGGTTGGGGAGGAGTAAATGGATCTGTGGGCAGCTGAATCATGCCTATCGGTGGCTGTAAGTGGTGGAGCCTCCTCCCTCTTACAAGGATCAGAGATACAATCAAAGAGAGATGAAAGGTTGCATCAGGAGGAAGCTGTAGGCCCTGGTGACTCAGGGAGGATGGCAGGCTCCTTCCCGGACCCTGGCCACCTCTGAGCTTTCCACCTATCCCTTCCACCCTCTCCCTTACCCAGATGTCTCCACCTCCAGAGCCTCAGTTTCCTCCCCTGGGAGATGGAACTAAATGGGTACCTCTGACTCTCTCCTCCCTCCACTCATCCACGAGCAAAACTGTTCCCGAATTTGATCTTTTCTATTACCTGGCCCAGCTCGGCCATTGCTGTCTGGTCTCCTCCCTTTTGGTATCATTCCCACAGACATCCTCCCCTGGTTGTGTGGGTCAGACTTGTCCTTTTTCTGTCTAGAACCCTCTGTGGCTGTCACCTTCCTCAGGTTAAAAGTCAAAGCCCCCTCCCCCACAATCCCACCAGGCCCTATTTTTTTTTCTTTCTACCCCTCTCCCCCTTAGGCCACCAGAGCCCCTGCAAAGCTCCTCTAGCAAGTCATGCACACTCCCGCCTCAGGGCCTTTGCGAGGCTGTGCCTCTGCCTGGGACCATCTTGCCCAAGTCTCCCCTACCTTCTTTAGGTTTCAATTCAAATACCATACTCACCCACTGGCTTTTCTCCCTCCCCTGCCATCAAGAGTCTGTATTTTGTTCATGGCGATGTCCCCAACTCCTGGACACAATCAGGGCTTAATCAATGTGCTCATAAATAATCATGCTGATGATAATCATTGCTCCAGATGCCTACTGAGCACCACGCCCTGGGTTAGGGACAGGAAACACAGCCAGAGCCAATTGAGACTAATCCCTGCCCTCGTGGGACTCATGTTCTGGGGAAAAGGAGGGATGTGGACATAAGCCCTTGAAGCAATGAATATATAATGTGGAGTCGGGCAGCAAAAAGTGTAATGAATAAAGTGAACACGTGACCAGATGCAGTGGAGGAAGTTTTTCTAGACCAAAAAGTCATGGAGGGCTTCCTGGAGGAGCTGGCATTGGGCTGAGGTGGGTTCCATGTAGAAGTGAAGACCTATGCAAAGGCCCTACCTAAGGTAGGAAACTGTTTGCAAGGAGGCTGTGGAAGGAGCTGATATAGGTGGATCCTATGGTGCCTCAGGGGGTCATTGTTGGTTCTCACCTTAAAATAACAGGGCCCCCTGGCGGAGCCTTTAGGGGGCGATGGGATTGATTCGTGCCTCCCAAAGGACAAACAGTAGCTCTGCTGACTGTATGCTTCTTACTCGTTCACAGAAGGGGAAACCCAAGCTCAAAGAGGTGAAGTCACTTGTCCAGGATCTCCAAGGCCAAACTTCCCAGCCAGAAGCCAGGAGCAATCCTCTCCTCCCACATCACCCAGTTGCAGATGGAAAAACTTAGGCCCAGAGTGGTGCCGTCACTTCCGTAGGACCCTGGGGAATGAACTCTGCCCTGCTTTTCTTTCCCTGCCCCTCCTGGGTGCAATCTTACTCGGGGACTTTCTCACGGAAACAGGGACAGCCAATAGCTGGTTTCACAAGTGGGTGGCCAAAGCCAGGTTTCAGTTTGCAGACAATGTCTGGCTCCAACTGCCTGGTGTAGTCCAGGAAGGTTTGCTTGGCTACAGCCAGTGGGAGCAGTATCTATGTGTAGGAGGAAATAAGTAGCTAACCCGCCTGATGCCAACGGGTAGCCAGGGAATGAGGGTAGACTGAGTCTTGATCACACAACAGCCAATCCACAATGAACACTTACTTTAGGCTTTGCTGTCTTAACATATTTTGTTATTCTACCAGTGAGCACGTATTATACTGTTTACTGTGTACCAGGTATTACCAGCTCTTTTCATCATCTCAACCCACCAGAAGGAACCAGCCCTGCTGATACCTTGAATTCAATCTTCCGGTCAAGAAATTTCTGTTGTTGTTGAGCCACACAGGATGTAGTAATTTGTCACTCAGCCCTAGGACACACTGAACGTCCTTCAGCTCAAGAGGGGGCCCTGTCTTCACCTGGCATTCTCGCCAGGAGCAGGAAGGTGTGTATTTCTCTTTGGGGATTTGTGGGACATGTGGATTGTGAACTAACATGGGTTCAGAAGTTCCAGAGGCTTTTCTGAA